TTGGAAATTTCAATTAACATCCTAAATGTGTAACAACCTATCATGAATAATACCAGTTTAGTTTCAATAGCATACAGACTATTTAGTCCTTATTTCCTTTACAATTCAGTCCTTCCTCCCTTCATAGATTACATCTTTGTTAGCTGAATGCCTATTAAATATTTTTCCTGTCTCTTTCTCTCCATCTTCTCTTTCTGGAAATCCTATAATGCATATATTGGTAGATTTGATGGTGTCCCCCAGGTCCTTTGGGCTCTGTTTATTTTTTTCTTTTACTTTCTGCTCCTCAGACCTAATAATTTCTTTTTTGACATTTTAAATTTTATTTACTTTTCAAATTGTGGTAAAACACATGTGACATAAAATTCACCATCATAACCATTTTTAAGTGTACAGTTTAGTAGCATTAAGTACATTTACATTATTGTACAACTATCACCACTATTCATTTCCAGAGCTCTTTTCCTTGCAAAACTAAAGCCCTGTACCCATTAAAAATAATTCCCCATTCCTTCCTCCCCCAAGGCCTTGGCAACCACCATCTTACTTTCTGTCTCTTATGAACTTAAATATTCTAGATAAGCCCTGATAATTTCAAATGTCATGTCTTCAAGTTCACTGATCCTTTCTTCGGCTTCCTCAATTCTGCTGTTGAAGGCTTGTAGTGAGGTTTTCATTCAAGTTATTATACTTTCAGGTCCAGAATTTCTATTTGATTCCTCTTTATAATTTCTACCTCTTTAGTGATATTTAAATTCTGTCTGTACATCATTTTCTTGATTTCCTTTAACTCTTTGCCCGTGGTTTCCTGTAGTTATTGAACTTCTTTAAGACAGCTGAATTAACATCTTTGACTAATAATTCTAATGCCTAGACTTCTTCCAGGATGATTTCTGTCATTTTTTTTTCTGTGAATGGACCACACTTTCCTGTTTGTTTGTATGTTGTGTAATCTTCTTTGTTGAGAGCTGGACATTTTGAGTATTATATTGTGGTAATGCTAGAAATCTAATTCTCCTATTCCTCAGATGTTGCTGAGTCTTTCTCGTTGAGTGCTGGAGTCATCCATTTGTGACTTTTCCAAACGTTTTTGAAAAGTGTATGGTCATTGAAGTTTTTCTCCTATTATCTCTACAGTTAACTAGTAGACTGACAAAGATTTCCTTAAGTTTCTGGCTCCCCAAAAATGTGTGTGTGTGTATGTGTGTGTTAGGGGTGTGTGTGTTAGGTGTGTGTGTGTACAGAAATAATTACTGCCACTTTAAATTTCCTGGAAGCTGCTTCATCACTTGGAGGTTGAAACAATGGCCAGTGATCAAAACAGTGGCCAGCAGTCAACATACACAACCTCAGCTTTTGGAGGACAAGGTCGTTATTGCCTGCTCTGATATCGGCAAGTCACATCCTAAACAGGAGCTGCCATCCCCACAGCTTCCTGCCACAGGATGAGAGATGGGGAATGATAACCACTAAAAAAAAAGCCAAAATTCACCAAAACACTTTTTATCAGTCTTTCCCCTGGTTGCCAAAAGTGTTTGACTACACTCCAGACTTCCAAAATAGTTACTGTTTTGAATTGAATTGTCTCCCCAAAACATACTGAGGTCCTCACCCCAGGTACTTTGGAATGTAACCTTATATGAACATAGGGCCTTTACAGAGGTAATCAAGTTTAAATGGGGTCACTAGGGTGAGAGCCCTAATCCAATATGACTGATATCCTTACGAAAAGGGGAAGTTTTGGCACAGACACACACAGGCACGGGGAAGGCTCCCTTGTGGCCGGAGCGAGGCTCCCACAAGCCAAGGATGGCCGGATGGCCGCAGACACCAGAGGGGCAAGGAAAGATCCCCCCAGAGCCATCAGAGAGCACGGCCAGGCCGACACCTGGCTTCAGACTCTTGCCTGTACGGCGATGAAGTCCTGTTGTTTTCAGTACGCAGCTCGTGGGGCTTTGTGACAGCAGCCACGGGGAGCTCACACGGTAGCTTCAGACAGTTCCTGCCAGTCCAGTCACATCCTTCAGGCAGAGGTGGATTCGGGGAGCTTCCTGCTCTGCCATCTTCTGTGCCGTCGTTCATTAGTTTTAAATTTTTCTCTCTCTGCCACCTGTAAAGCAAGCTCTACGAGGGCAGGGACTTTTGTGTCTTGTATTCGTTGTTCTATCACTTGTATCTAGAGCAGAACCAGACACAAAGTAGATCCTGGCTAACACGGTGAAACCCCGTCTCTACTAAAAAATACAAAAAACTAGCCGGGCAAGGTGGCGGGCGCCTGTAGTCCCAGCTACTCGGGAGGCTGAGGCAGGAGAATGGCGTAAACCTGGGAGGCGGAGCTTGCAGTGAGCTGAGATCCGGCCACTGCACCCCAGCCTGGGCGGCAGAGCAAGACTCCGTCTAAAAAAAAAAAAAAAAAAAAAAAGAATATTCATGAAGAATTATTGACTGAATTAAGAGTAAATGAGCATAGACGAGATAACATGGTCCCACCCAGTGGAGGAGGAAGTGTTGAATGCAGTGATGGAGGGAAGCTCTGGGTGTAGCCATCCGGTGGAGGAGGAAGTGTTGATGCAGTGAAGGTCGGTTGCATGGGCAGACTTCAAAGACAGAAAGGTCATGGCTGGCTGCATGGAGGACAGAATTAAAGGGGCAAATGGTGCATTACGTTGTGGGAAGGGGAGCTTGAACAAGGCAGGGCTCGGGAGGACAGACCACAGAGCTATGGGCAGATCCTTGGACTCTGGAGTTTAGGGAGCTGGTTCTTATCAGAATTGCAAATCCCAGAGAGGGCTTGATTTGAAAACAATGTCATAGCATATTTTTTGAAGCAATCAGCCTGTAACAGAATCTGGCACTTGTAACTATGCAGTTTGGAACCTGGGGTAGGTTTTCTCTGGCTTTGGACAATGGACGTCACAGCACAGGGCACTTGCTGGAATTTCTGCATCACTAAGCTTGAAGACATCGCCTCCTCCCTTGAGACTGCAGTGCCCCAGCAAGGGCCCAGGGTCCTGTGCTTAGTTGTTCTGACTCTGTCTCCTTGTTGCGGGTGGCGTGTGCAGTCCTGTAGGGTAGAGGCTGGCTTTGCACCACCAGCATGGTGCTCAGCGCCTACGGGGCCCTGTGGCCTCACAGTGACGTGTGTGTGTGCTAGCTGTGCTCACTGATGACTGGCTGTGGTGAGAAGTTTCACTTCGCTCCCTCCTCCAAAGAACAAAGACATCAAGTGTGAAGAAGCCTCTATGATAATCGCGTTTATCATAAGACAACAAAAGCAAAGCTTGAAAAGTGCCTCAGGGACTGCGCGGGAGCACCCCACTGCCAGGAGTTTCTGATTCTGCATCAGATGGATAGATGCAGAATCAGATGCTTTCCCTAGTGTTACTTATTTCTCTTCCAGTGTCTATTTGACGCTACTGACAATGAAAAATTGAGCTGTTCAACATGCCCCTTGTGACCCAGCAAATGTGAAGGGTTCCTTTCTAGGCCTTGCAAGGCAACTCTGGAGAACCAGACCCGGGGCTGGTGGAGACACGTGCGTAGCAGGCACGTGGGTCAGCGGCCTGGCTGCAGCTTCCTAGTCCGGCCTCCGCTGGGGCTGGGGGGACCCTGCTCCACACGTCCTCACCATGGGGACTCCCCTGGGCAGTGGCCGTCCTAGGCTCCATCTTCCATTGTGGCCGAGAGCCTGGCCTTCCAGAGGGGCATGCAGAAACACAAGATCTTCTGTCCAACCCACCCACATTCCATCGGTCAAAGGAAGCCACTAGGCAAGCCCAGAATCTGGGGTGGGGCGGAGGACCTCCCTGCCCCAGCAGGACGCTGCCGAGCGCACACGTGAAATCCTGCTGCAGCCATCAGGAGCTGAGGGTGAACGGATCTTCCCAAGTGAGCCCTGAGGCGCCCCTTTCAGGACATCGGGGGACGGAGCACCCAGCAGAGGGCGGCTCTCTTGCCCCTTAATTGAATAATACTGCACATCACTCACATCTCCACACTGGGGTCCGCTTTCCGTTTGTGTGTTTGTGTAACGTTCTCCAGATCGGCCACCATTGGCGCTCTCCTCCGCCTGCTGCTCTTTAGAGAGGTTGAGTAAGCAACTGCCCGAGGTGGCGGGCCCAGGGGTCTCTCCTTCACACCCCGTGGGCTCCCTGAGGCGTCTGGTTGGAACATCCCGGCCGTTCCGTTCTCCGGAGTCTCCCGGAGGCAGGCTCAACAGCTGTGTCCTTCCCGGCTCCTTCTAGCAATAAGCCACAAGGGGGCAGCTCTCTGAACACAGATTTCTTACAGAAATTTCACAGCCACTGCGTTCCATTGATTACAGTAATGCAAAGTATATCAACGTCAGAAAGCTGCACCAGAGGCTGGCACGGCTGACTAGAGAATGGTGCTTCCTGGCTGTAGAATCTGGTACCTGTCGTCCTGCTGCGAATGGCTAGCAGGCTCAGGGTGCCTGGCAGGGGGCAGCCGTGAGAAGTCGCTTAGCACAGGGGACCCAGTGTGCAGTAGGGTCAGGGAACTGTGTGTGAGTTCCGGCTGGGTTGCTTTTGAGGTCTGTGCTCCTGTGCCTCTCTGCATCCTGGTCTCCTCGTCTGTCAAGGGAAGGAGTAACAGCACACTTGAGGGATGTTTGAGGATTCAAGATGACGTGTGCATAGTTAGCACAACACTTGCGGGGTTCTATGAGCTCTGCTTTGATAGCTGCGTTCTCAGGCACTGTGTTAGGCTCTATGTGCCTTTACTCCGTATAAAAGCCACAGCAGCTGGTGGGGCTCAGGACCAGGAGGACCAGTTGGTGGCAGCTGGTATCAAAGACATACAGATGAGTTCAAACTCAAGTTACTGTGGATTCCAAAGTTTGCTTTGGTTTCTTTCCATAAATCCTATGCTCCTTAGAGTTTGAAAGGTGAGAAAGCATTTGGATTTTCTAAATTGGTCACAGTATGGCAGCTTCTCTGAGCTTCCATGGGACGTGGCGTCAATGTCCTTTTCCTCCACAGATTCCCGTGCTCCTGAACCTGAGCCGCGACCCTGAGGTCGGCCTGCCCGCGCCGCCGCTCATGTATGCCCTGGCCTTCGGTGCCTGCCTGGGAGGTAAGGGGCTGCTGACCGCGTGGGTGGGGGGAGGGGTATGCGCCCACACTTCCGTCCAGCCCAAAGCAACAGTTAGTGTGTGTCAAATTAAAAGCAAATGAAGGAGAGTCCGGATGGTTTCCTGAGTGGACACACATGTTCAGCTTTGACAGAGCAATTCCAGGGCAACTCCGTTCCTTCCCATTCTTTGCAGAGCTGCCCCCGACTTCCCGGGCCCGTGGCCTGGGGATGCCTGGGTCTGACGCCTCACAGCTGATGTGTTCCCGCCCCGTGCCCGTGTGGGCCGTGCTTAGGTTTAGAAACAGATTTTGACTCAGAAGCCATCCTCAGTTGCGGTTCTGTTTCTCTCTTAGTCCCTCCGTAAGCAGTGGAGGGATAAATGGGTCAGCTAGAAGTGGAGACTCTAACCCATAAGCGTGGGAAGAAAGAGTAAAGGTTTTTTTGGGGGTGGGCATTGGACGTTGGAGACAGTGAGAAGTGGAGAGACTCTAACCCATAAGCGTGGGAAGAAAGATTAAAGGTTTTTTTTGGAGGTGGGCATTATACTTTGGAGACAGCGAGAAGTGGATTAAAGAGAGTGTTGGGAGAGACTGACCTCTGGTGACCAGACACAGGGTTGTGGATGCAGTGCCGTGGACAGAACTGCGGGGGAGTCCTTCTCACATCTGAGAAGCCTGATCACCTTTGGGAACACAAGGGGATTGTGAAGAAGCTTAGATCAACACATCAGATACACTTTAAGTTTTTATTCTTATATCCAGGTATGCTTAGATAATCCAGCTTTCTTTGTTCTCTGATTGATTTCTGACTATTAAATCAATGCCTCTCTGGTTAGTTTATCTCCTTGGCTGAAAAGGGGGATTAATGTCATCCAGTGAAGTTTCTGTAATGTCCGTGAACAACTAATTCATCTAAGTCAGTGACTGATGCCTCAAGTTCTTCCGAGAGTGTAGAACTGTTAAAATTGCCTCCATCCAAGAACCAGTTCCAGGAAGGCAGTGCAGAGCTACATTTCACATCAACAATTAGGAGCAGGATCCGAGGACAGCTGGAAACGCATCCACTGTGAGGACTCTGTTCGTTTGAACTTGCTGAGCCTCTGCTATACCCTGACGTTGTGCCAGACAGTGAATTCACACCCCTGCTGTCGAGCGGGGAAGATGGCCACCTAAACTAAGGTTACAGCATAGGCTGACACGTCCTGTAACGCAGGTGTGCCCTGAGTGCACGGGGCCCCGAGGAGAGACTGGAGATGTCGGAGGAGGTTCTGCAGACAGGGAAGTTTAAAGCCAGGTCGTGCAGAGTGAGAGGCCTTGTGAGCTAGTCTGGATTTCCCCAAAACATGAAGGATCAATGTGGAGGAGATTTCTCTAGGAGAGGCATCAATGTGTGCCGTTTATAGGCTAATTCCTAAAATGGGATTAGACACTTATTAACTGAGCACACTTTGGAAGCAGGGAGGCAGTGAATAATGAGTGTGTTCAGTCTTAGGAGCATTTTAATCTAGTAGCTCTGCAGATTGAAAGGCACCCGTTCCTGGCATGACAGGAGTGCAGTTTTGTTGGGAGTTAACTCTACACTTACTCCCTCGGGGCCCTTTCTCATTGACTCAAGGTTGGGCATTTTACAGAAATTATGGTAAAATATATGTAACCTAAAATTTAGCATCTTAACTGTGTGTAAGTGCACAGTTCGGTGGCATTAGGGACATTCACAGTGTTGTGCCACTGTCCATCTGCAGAGGTCTTTTCACCAGTCCAGGCTGAAGCTCTGTCCCCATGAAACACCAGCTTTCCACTCTCTAGGGTTGGCATTGTGAAGAACACTTTAAATAGAAGTTTTCACTTGGTTTTAGAAATGTCATTTGCTCTATAAATTGGAGGTGAGTCACTGGATACTTTGAAACAACTTCCTTCCTTCCTTCCTTCCTTCCTTCCTTCCTTCCTTCCTTCCTTCCTTCCTTCCCTCCCTCCCTCCCTCCCTCCCTCCCTCCCTCCCTCCCTCCCTCCCTCCCTCCCTCCCTCCTTCCTTCCTTCCTTCCTTCCTTCCTTCCTTCCTTCCTTCCTTCCTTCCTTTCCTTCTTTCCTTTCCTTCCTTTCCTTCCTTTCCTTCCTTTCCTTCCTTTCCTTTCTTCTGGTCTGACCCCAGTACTTTTTGGTTGCTCTTTTCATGAAGAGCTAAGAACAATTCAAATAAGCCTTCAGAAAAACCTGTCTTCGCTTGAGTTTCCTGGAAAGAAGAGGTGGAGGCAAGTTCATGTGCTAGGGCGTTACTGGCAGGTGCAATCCTAAGGTAGAAAACCTGTGGGGAGGAAGCGAAGTGAGCACGAAGAGTGAAGAGCTCTTCCCTGCCATGGTTATCTAGAGGTTGTGGGCAATCCAGGTAGCATTTGACTATTTTCTTAACAACCCAGGCAGCCCGTGGCTGTGTTCACACCAACCCAGGCAGCCCGTGGCTGTGTTCACACCAACCCAGGCAGCCCGTGGCTGTGTTCACACCAACCCAGGCAGCCCGTGGCTATGTTCAAACCCTGAGGCTGCTGCTTTCCTTAGGTTACATCCAGGTCTTGAAGGACCGGTGGCTCTTCAGCTCGCCAAAGGGAATGTCCATGCCTAGAGTTCTGTCAGGTGGAAAATCTCACTGTTCTGGGAGTGTGGCCTATTGAGTGGAATGTATACTGCAGACACAGGAGTTACCCTTGAGATTTGGTTCTTTGTGTGCAACGTTCATCACAAACAGAGCTAGGCGTGGTTTTGAAAATGCCCTTGTTCTGCCTCTGGATCCATGTGTCGTCTTCCCACGCAGGACGACCTGGTCGTCATGCGTCTTCCCACGCAGGACGACCTGGGCGTGCCAGGACAGGCAGGGATGTTCATGTGCAGGCCGACCCTCCTGTGCTTCTCTGTCAGTGGAAACTGGGAGGGAGGCTTGAGCTGGGGAAGTGACACCTGGGGCCTTGTTCTCCCCACCACATGGAGCCCATACCATGTGGAATACCCTTAAAACCCTGCTGGCGTCTTGTTTAATGACTGCAACATCATTGGCATCTGAATAGTAGGCTCACATTCTTAATCCCGCGTGAACCCCACAACCAGCCCAGGATATGCCAGGAAAGGTGGTGACGGTCCTCATCAACACAGAGGAAGCAAAGCAGACTCCCTGCTTCTCTGCCCCACCCATGGTAGGGAGGGATGGGCAGCTGGGTTTCCGGCCCAGGGACTGGCATAGGGATGGGCAGACCAAAGCCATGTGGAGTCCAGGTGACGTGAGGGAGTGTCTTCTGTGGGAGAGGGAGGAGTTTCTGATAATGATTTTCCTGGCCCTCAGACCAAACCTCAGGAGACATAGGGGTCCCACTCCCTCCTCTGGCCACGGTCATGTCTGAATGCATGGTGAGGAGATGCCTGCAGCATCTGCAGCTCGAATGTGGGCTGGCTCTGAGTGTTGCTGGCTGGTGGCAGAGCACACGGGTGCAGGGAGAAGGTCCTGACCGTGCCACAGAGCTCTGCTGCATCTGGATTTGTGCCACCTGGGACTGCCTGTCACCAGGAGGTAAATGTTCCCTATGGCTAACACTCACTGGTCTTCTTCTGGAGCCAGAATGGTTCACTGTCAGGACTCGCCACTTCCCGGCCCGACACCTGGGCACGCTGCTCACCCTGTCTGTGCTGTGTCTTCATGGGGACGTGGGGCCTCCACCTGCTCTGTCATCCATGTTGTCCAGCCTCTGAAAGGTCACTCCCCTGCACTGACATGCTGTGGGCAGCTCCAGGGCAGTGGCGCACAGTTCACCCGTCCTCCGTAGAAGGGGAGAGAGATGGAGACACAGGGCGATTCTTCCTCAGCCGTGTGTGCGCGGACGTCAGGACTCAGCTAAACGGGCTGAGCCTGAATCACCGGCCTGTTCACGAACGCTGACCACGATGGCTGGGAGGGACGGGGGAGGCTCCTGGGCCTTCCCTGGCTGTGAGTGTATGTGGGGGTTGGATCTGATGACCCGAGTGGCCACCTTGGCTCTATTGCTCAACCAGGCCGCGAGGACGGCACACGTGTGTGTGCACACTCATAAAAGCTTACCCAGAGAGGTGTTTTATGTCAAGGAGATGCCATTGGTGAAGATCTGAAGGAAAGGAATTCCACCTGCTTGTTTTTACCTATCCTTTCATCCACTGAAAGAATTTCCTAGTGTCTGGGCCTGCAGTCTGGAGGGAGGTGGTTCGTGTCTGAGACTGCATTCCTGAGGGACACACGTTCTCGGCTTTGGTTGTTGGCCCCGTTTGCATTTTTCTCTAAGAGACTCACAGGCCCACAGTGACTTGCCCATTCTCCTTAGCTTTCTTCCTCTTGTTACATACAACAGCCGTGGTTTTATCCATAAATGAATCGTGGTATTTGCAATCAGTGAGCTTATTTTCTGCTTGTGTGTTTCCAGATATTTACAAAGCAGTCACTTTGACTGTAAAATAATCATCAAATCAAAACCTGTGAGATGATCTAAATATTACAAACCGAAGAGAACAGAAGCTGACCACCAGGATGAACTGGAATTTTGTTTTTAAATTTTGACTTTAGGTAACGGGACACTGATTGGCGCGTCGGCAAACGTGGTGTGTGCAGGAATTGCAGAGCAGCATGGATATGGGTTCTCCTTCATGGAATTTTTCAGGTACTTTTACATTCACTTTAAATTTCTGTTAAACTGTCTAGTTCCTAAGCTTATTTAATTAAAAAATAGCACATTCAATGCTAAGATAAGCATATTTTTAGCAATTAGAGAGATTGTGGTGTAGGAGAGATTAACTCAGAAAAGAACACATTAAAAATTTATTGCTGGCGGCTCACGCCTGTAATCCTAGCACTTCGGGAGGGCGAGGCGGGCAGATTGCCTGAGCTCAGGAGTTTGAGACCAGCCTGGGCAATGCGGTGAAACCCCAACACGGTGAAAATACAAAAAAAGTTAGCTGGGCATGGCAGTGTGCACCTGCAATCCCAGCTACTTGGGAGGCTGAGGCAGAAGAATTGCTTGCACTCGGGAAGCAGGGGTTCAGTGAGCCGAGGTCACGCGACTGCACTCCAGCCCAGGTGACAGAGTGAGACTCTGTCTCAAGAAAAACAATTGCTGGGATTAGCTCCATAACACAAAGGATGGTTCAGACACTCTGGATGACTCGGCTTGAGTCAGGGGGCCAGGAAATGACTGTGGGCTTGCCAGGTATTTCACGTGGCTGTCCTCTTGAAAATTCCAGTGGGAACTTGTGCCCTGACTGTCCACGAAGATGGTGCATGTCGAGTCTGACATCACCTGCTGGATTGCACAGTCCCTGCTAGCAAAGACCCCGTGATGTTGCAGACTGAAGCCAGGGTGGTGGAATGGGGGCTGCCTGGCAGTGGCTTCCCTCTCTTGTGTGGGCACCTCTCAGGACTGCGGAGAGATGAGGCCCTCGGTGGGGCGTACAGCGGGTGCCCGCAGAGTAGAACCTGCTCTAGGAGGAGCTGGGTCCACGCTGGGGCCCTGACTGCCGGCACGTCTGTGTGTGAGTGGCACACTGCACATTGCGAACAGGTGAGGTGGCAGAATGGAAGCTGGAAGCCCCTGTCAAATGGTGCTGTTAAAATGAACTTCCTTCATTTGGTGTTGAGCAAGGTTTCTGTGGAGTTCCTTGTACATTCGACTGGGTGTAGGCACAATGATGGTTCTCAGAACCAGCCTCGGGTAAAGATTTGGAACCTCAACTTTGGCTGAGTGGCAGAGAGCCCTGTAGCCGGTGGAGGCAGTGATCCCTGCACCAGGCACTGCTGCCTGGGGCTGGCTTGGGAACAGAACCCTGGCCATGGTGCCCAGTTGAGGACCCACACACAGCAGGCTCTTTGAACAGCAGCATACTGGCTTTTGCCAGACTTATGATATTGGCCATTTCCGTGGTTCGTAAGAAACTAGAACTGTGGTAATTTTGCTGAGGCATCGATCTGAATGACACTCCTGGGTGACGTGGGTGTGAGCCGCAGGGGACACTGAGTGTGCATCTCCTGGGGGGACTCTGGGCATATCGCTGACCCTGCTGCTAAGGGACAGGGTTCAAAACTTAGTGCCTGGCCCACTTCTTTCTGTCTGGACTCTCCTCTGCCTCTGCTGAGCATGAGAGAAATCATCCTGTCAGTTAAACAAGAATTATCTTAATGAGAGCAGCATTTATTACAGCAGATATGGCAGTGGCCTTTGCAAGGTGGCCTACCGCACACTGCCGTCTTCTCATCTTTGCCCTATGGTCAGTGAGGGTCAGACCCAGAGCACAGCTGAGAGAGGGGATCAGAGACAAGCGTGCTGAGTGGGCAGCAGGGGGAGGTTCAGTTCACCCTCTCTGCCAGCTCTGCCTCCTTCATTTGGGCCGGGCTCCTGACATCTGCGGCCCTGGAAGGCCATCGTTCTCACATCCCCCGTCCCCTCTCGTTTGGTTGGGCAAGTGTACCACGTGCTGGTCCCTCTGCTTCCTGGCAGGCCCATGGGCTGGATCTCAGAGAGCAGGAAAACCTCATGGCTTTTGCAGCACCAGTTGGTCTCACAGGTAGGCACGGGAGGCCTGGTATTAGTATTTTTTTTAAAGAAGAAGATTTTTAGGGCAACCGCAGTGTGATCTTTTCCCAAGTAGCACTTCGGAACAATAACCTGACATCTGCCCAACCGAAAGGGTTTGCGTCCACTCCACCTGGGACGCGTAAAGTGCCTGAGGTTCAGCTCCAGTGGGTGATGCATGTGGGCACTGAACTTTTCACACAGGTCTTGCATTTGGTGTGCAGTGTGTGACACACGTGTGTGTGCGCGCGCGTGTGTGCAGTTACTGCGGAGAACGGCTAGTATGACAGGAAGTCGGTGGCCTCAGAAAGCTTGGGCACGACTGCCAGTTGTCTCCCCGAAAGCTCATCAGCCCCAGCCTTGTGAGTCACATGCATCTTCTTGGATGGAGAGGGTCTCTGTGGTGAGTGGTCAACAGAGTTCCTTCCTGGTTCCGGTTCTTCCAGCTCTGACCATCCTTCTTGCCAGGTCCTTGCTGTGCAGAAATCAGAGCAGTTTTTGCCCAGGGAATGGTTATTTAATTGCGGTACGGACTTTATTTGCTTGAATTGCTTAATTTGCAATTGCACATGCACTAATTTGACTTTTATCTATAACTCAAAGATTTATTTTCATAAAAGGGGGCTTCTTGTGATACACAGTGCAGAATGTTTTAAAAAATGACCATTTCTCTCATGATGTAGATAAGTATTTAACAGAAAATGTGTCAATGAATAAAATATAAAAGTAACCTATAATTTTGCTACCTAGAAATAGCCACTGATCGTAATTTGGTGTGTTTTCTTACATTTTTCCTGCCTACCGTAGATTACATGTTTTTTACAAAGCCTTCAAATCACATTGTATCCTACTTTTTATTCTTTATACTCTATTGTGACCATCTTACCTAGGACCAATTGTCCTTCCAAAATAGAATAGCTGTGCCTACAACAGGCAGATATATCCTGGTTCATTTTACACTGAGGTATTGAGGTTGCTTACTGTTTCTTGTTATGGTGTGATAAATATCTTTATAGATAAAACCTTGTTTCATTTCTGATAATTGAAGATAAATTTTCTGACATAGAACCACTGGCTAAATGAATGATGTTTCAGGAATCCAGATAAATATTGACAAGCTGGCATCCAGAAATGTTGCTCTCTGTGCACTTTGTCGAACTTCACTGCTGAAACTCGTCACTGCCATTTGAAACGCTCAAGGTTCATCTGGCTGGCTAACAATAGACTCATGTTTTGTTTTAATTAATTCTACTGAGATTATACTCTTTCTGTATAAGCATTGAATATTTGCATTTCTTATTTTGTAAACTTTCTATTCATATCCTTTGCCTCTGTCTTTCTCTTGAGAGATGAATTTTCCTATTTTTCAGAAGCTCTCTTGCACCTACAGAAATCAGTTCTGATATACATGTTGTGACTATTTTTAAGCTTATTTTTGTATTTTAAATTTTGCAGAGGAACTTTAGATATTCTGTAGTCGAAATGGATAAACTTGAGCTCCATTTTTATCTATGCTTTTTGCTTTCATTAATTTTTTAAACCTTTTTCTTTCAAGATAATTGTAGATTCGTGTGCAGTTGTAAGAAATAATTCAGAGAGATTCTGTGAGCCCTTTGTGCAGAAACCCCTGATAGTAAAATTTGGACAAACTGTAGTAGAAGATCACAGCCAGGATGTTGCCATTGATGCAGTCAAGGCACACAGAAGAGGTTCCGTCGCTGTGAGGCGCCCTCATGCTGGCCTTTTCCAGCCAGCCCTGCATCCCTCCCACCTCCAGCCCTGCCCCAATCTGTTCTCCATCTCTAGCATTTTGTTATTACAAGAAGGCTAACTAAATGGAATCATACAACACGTGACCTTTTTGTATGGGCTGCTTTCACTCAGCATCATGGTCTAGCAATTCATCCAAGTTGTCTCACATGCCAGTATTTGATTTCTTTGCATTGCACTGGGGTGTGGATGGACCACAGGTGGTTTAGTCACCTCCTCATTGAAGATCACCTGACTTGTTTCCAGTTTGGGGCTCTTAAGAAGAAAGCAGATAGGACATTTTCTCCCAGTCTGTAGACTGTCTGTTCATCCACTTAACAGGTTCTTATACAAAGCAAAAGTTTTGAATCTTAATGAGGCCCAACGTGTCAAAACATTTTTTAATGTGTCGTGTTTTTGGTGTCAAAAGCATGACAGCAGGAGAACTTTTTGCCTAGCCCAAGATATTTTTCAAAGATTATCTCCTGTGCTTTTTTTCCCCCCCAAATTTTATTGATTTACATGTTACATTTTAGTTCATGTTCCATTCTGAGTTAAGTTTCATATAAGGTGTGAGGTTTAGATCAAGGTTCTTTTTGTGTTTGCCTATGGATCTCGCCACACTCTACCACCATTTGGTACAAAGGCTATGGTTCCTCCGCTGAGTTGCTGTTGCAGCTGTCCCTCATCGGCTGAGTGCATCTTTGTGGATCTGTTCCCGGGTGCTCTGTTCTGGTATGTTGATCCGGATGGCTGTCCCTTCCCAGTACCGCACTGTCTTGATTACTGCAGCTACGAGAGACAACACACTGCATTACACTTTTATTAGGATCAGGAATACTGGAATAGACACATAATTTAAAATTACCCTAAAAATATTGGTATCGAGAGGTCTGCAAATATTTTCTTAGAATTATTTTTAAATTTTGTCTGTTTTGGTGATTATTTTCCCCTTGTCATTTTTTATCTGTGGATTTATTTTTGATTAGTGGTTTGCGATTCATCTAGTTCTGTTTTATTTTTCAAAAAATAAGACTTTGATGTATTTCTTAGTCTAGTTTTCTGTTTTCTGCCTTGTTAATTGCTGCATTTATCTTTATCATTCCCTTCCTAGTGCTTTCTCTTGATTTACTTTGCTGTTCTTTAGTTTTTTCAAATTTCAAATTTATTTCATTTATTTTTGTTTGTTTTATTTTCCATAAGTGTTTAAGGCTATGCTTTTTCCTCTGAACACTGCTTTAAATGTATTCCATGGAGTTTAATATATAATGCTTCCATTATCATTTCTAGGATTTCTGTATTTTCAGTGTGGCTTGCCTTTCATCTGAGTTGGATGTTTAATAATG